TCTGGAATTTCATCCTGTGGCTGTGACATAATAAATTTTCACAAACTGATATTATTCAGAGTGTTCCAATATTCCCTATTATCTACATGATGTGGATGGTATCTTTGCAACGTTTGTACACTAGTAGTGGGTGTAGTCCAGGGCAGAGTTCCCATGGCTATTTGTTCTGGTGAGCTGAATGGGTCCCCTTGGAGTCCAACAACTATGTTGAGAGAATTGTAGTATTGTGATAACAGAACCTGGTTGATGTAGGAGAGAGAGAGAGAGAGAGTGTGTGTGTGTATGTCTGTGTGAGTGTACGTGTGTGCTGACAACCACATTTCCCTTTACTTCCTTCTGGCTCCTTTGTGTCACTGCATTTTCATTTGGTCTCCTTTTCTAAATTCAAGCCCAAAAGTGAAAAAAGGGAAATAACACGATGGCAGTTCTCGTAACCAGATCTTTATCAACATTCTTCATTAAGTCCTGAAGATAAATACATAAAAGGAAATACTAGCACAAAGGGTGGGTGCCTATGTAGTAGCAATACTTTATAAGTATTGCTCTACAGACACTCATAATGTAGTATCATTTATGCTCTCCAAGTAGAGGCAGGTGAGAAAAGCTACAGAGGAATGAAGAAAGTACTGATGTTGACAAGGTATTGCAGAAGGAAGGCTCTAGACTCTGTGGTGGACACACATACTGGTCATTTGTCTATTTCTGGCTTTGTTGCCTCTGCTTTTAAGGTCTTAGCCATAAAATCTTTGCCTAGACCAATGTACTAAAGTGTTTCCCCCAGGTTTTTTTCTAGTAGTTTTATAATTTCAGATCTTACCTAGACCAATGTACTAAAGTGTTTTCCCCAGGTTTTTGTCTAGTACTTCTATAGTTTCAGATCTTACATTTAAGTCTTTAATTGATCTTGAGTTGATTTCTGTATATGATGAGAGACAGAGGTGCAGTTTCATTCTTCTGAATATGCATATCCAGTTTTCCCAATACCATTTATTGTGGAGGATGTCCTTTCCCCTATGTATGTTCTTGCTGCCTTTGTTGAAAATCAGTTTTGTCTGTAAACATGTGGATTTATTTCTGGGTTCTCTATTCTATTTCATTGGTCTTTGTGTCTGTTTTTATACCAATACCATGCTGTTTTGATTACTGTAGCCTTGTAATATATTTTGAAGTCAAGTAGTGTGATGCCTCTGGCTTTGTTCTTTTTGGTCTGTATTGGTTTGGTTATTTGGTTCCTTTGTGGTTGCATATCAATTTTAGGATTTTTTTTCTATTTTTGTGAAAAATGTCATTGGTACTTTGATAAGGATTGCACTGAATCTGCAAATTACTTTTGGCAGTATGATCATTTAAATTATATTAATTCTTCCAACCCATGAGCATAGGTTATCTTTCCATTTGCTTGTGTCTTCTTCAATTTCTTTCATCAGTGTTTTGTAGTTTTCCTTGTAGAGGTCTTTCACCTACTTGGTTACATTTATTCCTAGGTGGGTTTTTTTGTAGCTATTTCAAGTATGCATACCTTTTTAATTTCTTTCTCAGCTATTTCATCATTGGTGTATATAAACACCACTGATTTTTGTATATTGATGTTCTATCCTACAACTTTATTGAATTTATTTATCAAATATGAGAGGGTTTTGATGGAGTAATTAGGTTTTTCTAGATATAAGATTACATCATTTGCAAAGAAGAACACATGTAAAGATTCATTCCTCTTTTTCATCCAAGTCGGATGACTTGGATATCTGTTATTTCTCTTGCCTGATTGCTCTGACTAGGTCTTCCAGTACTATTTTGAATAGTAGTGGTGAAGGTGAAAAAATAAGACCCTTGCCTTGTCCCAGTTCGTAGATGAAATGGTTTCAGCTTTTCCCCATTCAGTATGATGTTAACTGTGAGTTTATCATATATGGTTTTTAATATTTTGAGGTATGTTTTTTTGATGCCTAATTTCTTGAGAGCTTTTATCATGAAAGGATGATGAATTTTATCAAATGCTTTTTATGGACTAATTGAGATTATCATATGGTTTTTGTCCTTCATTTTGTCGATGTAACATATTATGTTTGTTTATTTGCATATGTTGAACCATCTTTGCCTCCCTTGTATAAATCCCACTTGATCATGGTGCATTATCTTTTTGACGTGCTGTTAGATTCAGGTTGCTAGCATTTTGTTGAGAATTTTTGCATCTATTTTCATCAGGGTTATTGGCCTGTAGTTTTCTTTTTTGTTGAGTCTTTGTCTGGTTTTTGGTATCATGGTAATGCTGCCCTCATAAAATGAATTAGGGAGAATTCCCTTCACTTCCATTTTTTTCAATAGTTTGGAAATAACTTGTGATAGTTCTTCTTTGAAGGTTTGGTAGAATTCATCAGAGAAACCATCCAGGCCTGGGCTTTTCTCTGTTGGAAGATTTTTATTACTGATTCAAGCTCATTACTTATTATTGGTCTGTTCAGGTATTCTATTTCTTCCTGATTCAATCTAGGTAGGTTGTATATGTCCAGGAATCTATCTATTTCCTCTAGGCTTTCCAATTTGGTAGTATATAATTGTTTATAATAGTCTCTGATGATCTTTTGTATTTCCATGGTATCAGTTGTAGTGTCTCCTTTTTCATTTTTGATGTTTATTTGTGTCTTCTCTCTTTTTTTTCTTGGTTATTCTAGCTGGTGGTTTATGAATTTGTTACATTTTCAAAAATCCAAATTTTTGTTTCATTAAAACTCTGTGTTGTTTTAGTTTCCATTTTGTTTAGTTTGGCTCCAACCTTTACTGTTTTCCTTTCTTCTACTACCAATTTTGGATTTGGTTTGTTTTTGCTTTTTTAGTTCCTTGAGGTACACAGTTAGATTGATTATTTGGAATCTTTCTATATTTTTGATGTAGGCATCTATTGATATAGATTTTTCTCTTTGCACTGCTTTTGGTGTATCCCATAGGTTTTGGTATGTTGCGTTTCCATTTTCATTTGTTTCAAAAACTTTTTGATTAACTCAATTTTTTTTTCTTGACTCAGTGGTCATTCTGGAGCATGCTGTTTAATTTCCACATATTTGTACAGTTGCCCAGGTTCCTCTTGTTATTGATTTCTAGTTTTATTCCATTTTTGTCTGAGAACATATTTGATATAATTTTAATTTTTAAAATTTATTGAGGCTTGTTTTGTGTCCTACTTACCTAATTCTTTCACCATTAAATAGAAAACAACAGCTACAGCTATTTCAAATTAATGAATACATATTACTTTTGTTAATCTGTTCAAAAGTATGTCCTGTGTCTAAATATTCATCAAAATACTTTTATTCCTGAATACTAAATTTCAAACAATATACAAAAGCACACTTATGAACTGTAATTAATCTTCAACTCTCACTAGCTCAACTCCTACCTCCTGACCCAAACTGTCTGTTGTCCACAAAATGGTGTACTTTCCAGATATGTCCCTGTGGATGAGGGGCACATGACTATGTTCACCTACACATGCATATAATCTTTTTACCAAAAAGTGCAATCACATTAATCATCTCCTTTTGCAATTTGACTTTTCCACTTAATTCTTCTGAGGATTTATATTAGCATCTTATTAGTTCTTGTAGCTTTAGCATAATCAACAAGTTCATTGTTCATGTCTATATTTATTGGAAGTCTATGTCAAAACTAGTTGTCAATTGTTTTGTTACTGAGTTTGCCCTATAAATTATGGATACTAATCTAATATCTCAGATGTAGTTTGAAAATGTTTTCCCCATTGTTTTATAGGAATTCTTAGTGCTATTTTCATTTAGAATTTCTTTTCAACTTCAATAATATGAATAAAATATAAACAAATTGTAATTTAAAAAGAAATACTGGTGAAGAACACCTTAGGGGGTGTGTACTGTCAGCCTTGAGAAAAATTAGAGCATTGAGAGTCCTGGAGATACCAAGATAAAATGGAAAAATACTTTAAGCAATTCTAGGGTTACCTGCTGATCTGGAGAGAAAAAAGTTTTCTCCTGATTTACATAAACTTTCCTAAAGTACCCTGATCTGAATAATGGTCAAAGTGATAGGTACCTTGAATAGCAGTTAAGATTAAAGGAGATAAAATATAAAGTGCATTTGCTTACAGTAGTTTAGTGCATGTTACTTTCCTTCTCTCCAGCTCACCTGTCCCAGGGCCAATGCTTGAGCTTCTACCTGAGCCCACTCACCTCTCTGAGGATCAGCCAACTAACTCGTATGGCCCCACACCCAGGTCTCTTGGCACAAATGGTGGGATTTCATCTCCTTTATCTTCTTCATCACCCAGAGGGATTGTGGAGTGAGGGCACATTGGTCCACAATAGCAGGGCAGTAGAATCTGACTATTTCTCAAGCCCTGGAAGCCCATCTTCTAAAAGGGAGGCTACTCAGGGCTGTCTATGGAGGATGAGGGATGAAACCTCATTCCAATTCTACCATCTATTTGGAGAAGTGACTTACGCTCTGAAAGCCTGAGTTTGGTCATCTATGAAATGGGACTGACCATACCATCCTTACAGTGCTGTCCTGAGAGGTAAATGAGAAAACCTGTATAGAGTATATGGCATACAGTGGGACTTCAATGGCCTTTAAATGTTGGGACACAGCACTAGGGGATGGCTGAGCCTTAGGGCTAAGGAGGCATTGTGAAAAATCATTTCTCATTGTTTCTCGTTATAAGAAAACAGATACCTAGTTGAAGAAAGCAAATGACCCTGTGATATGAATTGAGTTCAAAGATTTGTAGACAGTTGTTTCTGTACTTCCTGGGTATTATCAAAGAGCTTTTCAACATCATGTCCCTGAGGTGACCCAAATCCAGTTCCCCATGCTGGAAAGACAGGCATGTCTTTGAACTCACATGTTAAACTCAGAAATAGCTAACATCAGGGGAGCAAAAAGTTGTGTTTGCCTAATGGCTGTTCCTGGACTAGTCAGTATGGTTTTGGGCTTTTTTTAAAATTTTGTTAAGGAAAAATTTGGACCCATACCACAGTCCTCAGTGAAGAGTCTTCAGATTATGCAGTATTCAGCCACATCACTCGAGGTTTTTTTTTTTTTTTTTTTTTTTTTTTTTTTTTTTTTTTTTTTTTCCGGTCATCTGCTGCCTCCTTTAGAGACAAAAATCCAATAGTTACTAGCAAGTCTTAGACACATTATATACTTTGGCTGTTTCCCCACCCAAATCTCACCTTAAATTGTAATAATCCCCACATGTCAAATGTGGGGCCAGGTGGAGATAACTGAATCATGAGGGCAGTTTCCCCCATACTGTTCTCATAGTAGTGAATAAGTCTAACGAGATCTGATGGTTTTATATATGGGAGTTCCCCTGCACAAGCTCTCTTGTCTGCCACAATGTAAGATGTGTTTTGCCTTCTGCCATGATTGTGAGGCCTCCCCAGCCATGTGGAACTGTGAGTCAATTAAACCTCTTTCCTTTATAAATTATCTAGTCTCAGTTATGTCTTCATTAGCAGCATGAGAGTAGACTAATACAACACACAATTGTCCAGTTTTAATTAGCTAACAACTAAATATTTATTGAGCCCAGAATTCATGCTATTCCATTGGAAGTACTTCATGAACTCTAGAGCCAAATTAACTGGGTAAGAAAGGAAATTAATACACGGGTGACTTCATTGCTTAAATATCAGATGAGATGGCTCTTTCTCATTAATTTTTAAACTTGATCAAGTTTCAAAAACTTGATGATTTTCAAAAATTCCTCCTTGGACCTCTCATCACCTATTCAACCACATGATAGAGATACCACTCCTCTCCCTCTCCTGATTTCTCTCTCTCTCTCTCTCTCTCTCTGTGTGTGTGTGTGTGTGTGTGTGTTTGTTTGTGTGTGTGTGTGTATGTGTGTGTGTGTATGTCCTCACCCATTGGATTCTCTCTTCTCCTTCAAATTCAAAGTTCCACAAAGAGTTGTATATATTCCTTGTTAACACTCTCCACTTTTCACTGATACTTTATCCCATTACACTATGGTGTCTGTCCCCAAGATCATCAATTAAAGCATATGAATTAAAACTCTTTTGGGTTTGACCCAAGATGGCAGAATAGGAACAGCTGCGGAGTGCAGTTCCCAGCAATAACAAAGCAGAGAGTGAGTGCTCACCACATTTCCAAACAAGTTTTCACTGCCCACAACCAGGAGATTCCCAGGCCGAAAAGTGCCACAAGTTTTCAGCAAAGCTGGTGCCACGGTTTGGTGCACAGAAACTTACACAAATCTGGGCAGCTGTTTCAACTGGTGCCTGGAGTGCCTGGGAGACAGAGCCGCCCATTCAGCTGAAAGGGAGCGGGTGAGACAGGGAGCCAGGCAATCTGGCTTGGCAGATACCACCCCCACAAAACAAGCAATCTAAAATGCTCTGGATTGAGAGTTTTGTAGCAAGCACACCTGGACCCACGATGGTCCAGCTTAGTGGGGAGAAGGGCGTCCACCACTACTGAGGCAGTCTGCCACTACCAAGGCAGTTCACACAGCAGCTGGGAAGAGCCTGTGGCAGCTCAGCAACACCTCTGCCGGCAAACTGTGACTAGACTACTCTGTGTGGGGCAGGGCATCTCTGAAAAAAGGCAGCAGCATGTCAGGAACTTATAAATAAAGTCAACATTCCTAGGTCAGAGCACCTGACAAAAGAAGCAGTATGAGTTCCGCTGCAGCAGACTTAAAGGTACCTGCCCAGCAGCTCTGCACAGAACAATGGAGCTCCCAGCACAGCACTTGAGCTCCTACAAGGGACAGACTGTCTCCTCAAGCAGCTCCCCAATCCCCATATACCCAAAGAGACACCTTATAAAGGTGTCGCCTCAGGCCGACATCTGGCGGTACCCTTCTGGGATGAAAATAACAGAAAAAGAAGCCAGCAGCAACCCTTACTGTTCTGCAGCCCCTGTGGGTGATCCCTACACAAGCAGGGTCTGGAGTGGACCTCCAGCAGTCCTGCAGCAGAGGGGCCTGATTGTTAGAAGGAAAACTAAGAAACAGAAAGAAATAGATTCAACATCAACAAAAAGGACGTCTACTCAGAGAACCCACCAGAAAGTGACCAACTACAAAGACCACGGGTAGATAAAGCCACTAAGATGGGAAGAAACCAGTGCAAAAAGGATGAAAACAACAAAAACCAGAATGCTTCTGATCCTCCAAGGGATCACAACTCCTCACCAGGTAAGGATCAAAGATGGATGGAGAATGAATCTGATGAATTGACAGAAAGATGGACGGAGAATGAATCTGATGAATTGACAGAAAGTGGGTAATAACAAACTTCTCAGAGCTAAAAAAAACATGTGCTAACCCAATGCAAAGAAACCGAGAACCTAGAAAAAGGTTAGATGAGATGCTAACTAGAATAAACAGCCTAGAGAAGAATATAAACAACTTGATGGAGCTGAAAAACACAGCACGAGAACTTGGCAAAGCATACACAAGTTTCAATAGCCAAATTGACCAAGCAGAAGAAAGGATATCAGAGATTGAAGATCAACTCAATGAAATAAAACGAGAAGGCAAAAATAGAGAAAAAAGAGTGAAAAGAAATGAACAAAGCCTCCAAGAAATACGGGATTATGTGAAAAGACCTAATCTATGTTTGATAGGTTTACCTGAATGTAATGGAGAGAATGAATCCAAGCTGGAAAATACTCTTCAGGATACCATCCAGGGGAACTTCACCAACCTAGCAAGGCAGGCCACCATTCAAGTCCAGGAAATACAGAGAACACCACAAAGATATTCCTCAAGAAGAGCAACCCCAAGGCACATAATTGTCAGATTCACCAAGGTTGAAATGAAGGAAAAAATGTTAAGGGCAGCAAGAGAGAAAGGTCTGGTTACCCACAAAGGGAAGCCCATCAGACTCACAGCGGATCTCTCTGCAGAAACCCTACAAGCCAGAAGAGAGTGGGGGCCAATATTCAACATCCTTAAAAGACAAGAACTTTCAACCTAGAATGTCATATCCAGCCAAACTAAGCTTCATAAGCGAAGGAGAAAGAAAGTCCTTTGCGTACAAGCAACTGCTGAGAGATTTCGTCACCACCAGGCCTGCCTTACAAGAGCTCCTGAAAGAAACACTAAACAAGCAAAGGAACAACCAGTACCAGCCACTCCAAAAATGTACCAAATGGCAAAGAACATCGACACAGTGAAAAAAAATATTTCAACTAATGGCAAAACATCCAGCTAGCATAAAAATGGCAGGATCAAATTCACATATAACAATATTAACCTTCAATGTAAATGGGCTAAATGCCCCAATCAGAAGACACAGACTGGCAAACTGGATAAAAAGTCAAGACCCATAGGTGTGCTATATTCAGGAAACCGATCTTATGTGCAAGGACACCTATAGGCTCAAAATAAAGGGCTGGAGGAAGATTTATCAAGCAAATGGAGAACAAAAAAAAAGCAGGAGTTGCAATCCTAGTCTCTGATAAAATGGACTTTAAACCAACAAAGATCAAAAGAGACAAAGAAGGGCACTACATAATGGTAAAAGGATCAATGCATCAAGAAGAGCTAACGATTCTAAATATATATGCACCCAATACAAGAGCACCCAGGTACATAAAGCAAGTTCTTAATGACCTATAACTACTTAGAGTCTCACACAATAATAGTGGGAGACTATAACACTCCACTGTCAATAGCTGACAGATCAACGAGACAGAAAATTAACAAGGATATCCAGGACTTGAACTCAGATCTGGACCAAGTGGACCTAATAGACATCTACAGAAATCTCCACCCTAAATCCACAGAACATACATTCTTCTCAGCACCACATTGCACCTACTCCAAAATTGACCACATAATCAGAAGTAAATCACTCCTCAGCAAATGCAAAAGAACGGAAATCATAACAAACAGTCTCTCAGACTACAGGGCAATCAAATTAGAACTCAGAATTAAGAAACTATCTCAGAACTGCACAACTTCATGGAAACTGGACAACCTGCTCCTGAATGTCGACTGGATAAACAATGAAATGAAGACAGAAATAAAGATGTTCTTTGAAACCAATGAGAACAAAGACACAACATACCAGAATTTCTGGGACACATTTAAAGCAGTGCCTGGAGGGAAATTTATAGCAATAAATGCCCACCAGAGAAGTGAGGAAAGATCTAAAATCGAAACCCTATCATAGAAATTGAAAGAGCTAGAGGAGCAAGATTAAAAAAAAAAAAAAAAAAAACTCAAAAGCTAGCAGAAGACAAGAAATAACTAAAATCAGAGCAAAACTGAAGAAGATAGAGACCATTCAAACCCCTTCAAAAAATCAGTAAATCCAGGAGCTGGTTTTTTGAAAAGATCAACAAAATAGACCGCTAGCCAGATTAATAAAAAAGAAAAGGGAAAAAAATCAAATAGATGAAATAAAAAACGTAAAAGGGGATAGCACCACCAATTCCACAGAAATACAAACTACCATCAGAGATTACTACAAACAACTCTATGCACATAAACCAGTAAACCTGGAAGAAATGGATAAATTCCCAGACACTTGCACCCTCCCAAGCCTAAACCGGGAAGAAGCTGAAACCTTGAACAGACAATAACAAGGGCTGAAGTTGAAGCAGCAGTTAATAGCCTACCAACCAAAAATGTCCAGGTCCAGAGGGGTTCACAGCTGAATTCTACCAGATGTACAAGGAGGAGGTCTTACCATTCCTTCTGAAACTATTCTAAACAATACAAAAAGAGGGAATCTTTCCCAAATCATTTTATGAGACCAACATCATCCTGATACTAAAACCCAACAGAGACTCAACAAAAAAAGAAAACTTCAGGCCATTATCCATGATGAACATTGATGCAAAAATCTTCAATAAAATACTGGCAAACCAATTGCAACAGCACACCAAAAAGTTTATCCATCATGATCAAGTAGACTTCATCCCGGGGATGCAAGGCTGGTTCAACATAACAGTCTATAAATGTAATTCACCACATAAACAGAACCAAAGACAAAAAACCACATGATTATCTCAATAGATGCAGAGAAGGCCTTTGACAAAATTCAACAGCCATTTA